TTCCAAAAATTATTTAAAATTAAGCTTTCTGTTGCTTTTGATTGAGCTCCTTTATGGAATCCAGAACTTTTAGATTAATTAGATTAATAAGAATATTTGGTTTATATGACAGAAGCAGGTGTGATGCTGAAGGATATTCCTGGAGCTTTGAGATCCTCAGAATTACCAGCTGAGTCTGTGTGCATTAATCTGCGCAGAGCCGCACATTTTACGCCTTTTCTGCGCATGTTACCGCCTTTTCTTTACACACAAAAGCAGAAATCATTGGGATTTCCACTCTAAACTGCTAAAACAGCTGTTGGTTTTGTTTGCTCGTCCCCTTAAAAAAAAAAAAAAGAAAAGGTGCGTGGTTTCTTCGCACCAGAGATCAAAGGCTCACATTTGCATTAATTAACGCCACTTAGTTAAATATTACCTTTAAGGTCCAATCAGAACCGTGAAGATGAGAGATCAAAGCGCCGCGGATCGATCCACGCCAAAGAAAACCATCCCAGCCTTAATGGTGCAGTTTGGGGCTTTAGCACGACTCTGGCCTTAAATTAGAGCTGGAAAAACAAAACAAAACCCAAACCAAACCGAACCGAACCGAACCAACTCACAGCCTAAAGGCATGCGCCCGTGTGTGTGTGTGTGTGTGTGAGCTAAACAACTCCACCCGGGGCTGATTTACGGCCTCTGGGCTGGACGCGGTCCCGGGATTGTTTAGACAAAGTGAGACGTGCACGCCCGCGTGCCAGTGCGCGTGAATCAGACAGAAAACGGCTAGTTTTTGTTTATTTTGGACGCAAACTCGGAGAGGATTTTTTCTTTGTGTAAAGCTGTGAAATTAAACAAATATATACGAGCTGTTCTTTCTATTTTGTGGTGTTTTTGGTTTGTATCCTGCGAAATAAAATTTAAAAAACAACATTTAAAAGAAGTAAATCTGGCTAAAAAACCCCTCTTATAAAGGAAGTAAATTTGGCTAAAAAACCCTCTTATAAAAGAAGTAAATCTGGCTAAAAAACCCTCTTATAAAGGAAGTAAATCTGGC